AAATGGTGCTGAACTCGATGACATCGACGACATTAGACGAGACGGTGTCACACGGCCGGACAAGGACCTGTCGGCAGGGGACAGTCACCGCGGTGTCCCCTCCTCCCCGGCGCTGTCCCCTCCCCCCCGGCGATGTCCCCGTCCCCCCCGTGCCCACCTCGCTCCTCCCGCTGCTATTCCACGTCCCCGTTCTCCCTGTGGGCCCCGGGGCCCGCGGGCTCCTCGCACGGCGACAGTTCATCGATGGACGCCTGGTTGGTGATGCCTGGGGGTGACACCGGCCCGGGGGTCACCGGGGACACCCCAGAACCCGCGTCCCCCCCTCCCCGGGCCACCCTGGCCGTGCTCGGGCCACCTCCCCGCCCAGGGACGCTCGGACAGAGCTGGCCCCGCGCGGTTCGTGGTGGTCCCCAGCCCCTCSGYGGTGGCCCTGGTGGCCCTGGTGGCCGTCCCCTACCGCTGGCCGCCCTCTCCTTCCACTTCTGCTTGTTCTCCTGGATGTGCTTGGTCCAGGTGGAGCGGAACCCGGCCAGGTCGGCTTTGATGTCCCCCGTGTCCAGGTGCTCATCCAGGGACGGCTGTCGCCACTGCGAGCTGGGGGACAACGGGGACAGCTGGCGGCGGGGCGGGGCCACCGCGGGGCCCAAAACGCGGCCACGGGGACAGCGGGGACAGCGGGGACAGCGGGGACAGGGACACCCACCTGGGTTGCTGGGTGGCCGCGGGGTTGCCCTTGGCCTTGGAGCCGTCCTCGGCCAGCGGCGTCACCAACTTCTCGGCCACGTCGGTGAGCACCGAGAACGTGGGCTCCACGATGAAATCGATGAACCCTGGGGACAGCAGGGGACACGGCGCGGCTGGGGACACGCTGGGGACACAGCGGGGACAGCGCGGGGACGGGAATGTCCCCCCTGCCCGCACTCACCGATCTGCGACTGGGCCACCAGCGTGGAGGTGCGGTCGCACAGGGGCGAGAAGGGCAGCCCCAGCTCGGCCTCCTTGTCCCCCTGGCAAGGCAAGGGACAGGCGTGGTGTCCCCAAGGGGTGGCCCCCGCKCCCCCCCGGCCCCGCCCGGCCCTACCTGCCGGAAGAACTCCTCCATCAGCGCCTTGGTCCAGCGGCTGTGCACCGCCCACTGCTTGGTGGGGTGGCTGATGTCGGCCGCGTGCAGCAGCAGCGACAGCACCTTGGACTTGTCCAGCCTGGGGACAGCAGCCCGAGGCTCAGATTGTCCCCAAAGCCACMGCGCCACCCTCCCCGCCGGCCCCGCCCACCTCTCCAGCTGCTGCAGCGCCGTCTTCATGGACTTGACCTGCTGGAAGTGGCACGACATGTCGGTGGCCAGGACCATCTCGATGACCAGAGCCCGCAGCTCCCTGCCGGGGGA